TATTCTTTATTTCCCTACATATATTTTACGTATTACTATTTATCAGCCTACTTTTCGTCCTAGACGAGGTCTTATACATAGTGTGATATTAGTAACTCCATAAATTCTTCTCCGAGTTGGATTTCCGAAAATATATTTAGCACACATGACATGAGTACAGTAGTTTAGATACCCACATCGAGGTTTCCACCATTTCTCAATCAAAAAAGGCTCTGCCCATTCAGCTCATAGATAAACTACTGCTCAGCTTGAAATCAGAATTCATTCAGTCAATTCAGTCAACCCTGGTATACAGTCTAAGAACAGTCTCTTTTGGTGAAATATATTATAAGCTTTCAGTAGAATTAATATGTTCCCTACCTCGCAAAATTATGCTGGAGTAGTAAACTCTAGAACTAGAGGATTGTTCATCTATATCTTGGTATAGTTGAATCAGGAATTCCATATGGAAATTACGTATGATATGCCAGTGACCTCAATATAACCTAAAAAAACAACGAATATCAAAAATCTAGAGTTTATCCCCAGAATTGAATAAGGATGGAACTATATAACTGTTTCACAAACGCTTTAGAGTGAGAGGAGACGAGGATCTGTCCGTACCCTGTTAAGATGACTTTAACGTCAATTTCCATCAAGGGACCCTAGTATTAATGAGAGCGAATTTGAACAATATCTATACCGAGATCTATGACTTTATAGTCGTCCAAGTAATTATGCATGTTAAGTGTATTGAATAAATTGCGAATATTTCCAATTTTTCATCATTTCTAACATTTCATTAAATTATGAAATAGTGGTTTGGGCAATATGCAATACTTTCGGCAATAAATAAATTGTTATCACTGCTCATCTATAATTATTTACAAGATGATGCAAATTTTTTGATATCAATATACGTCACTTATATTATTTTTAAGGAATAGTTGTTATTGGCATCAAAATAATAAAATGAATAGTTGGATATACACGGTGGTCCAAAATTGTCTCCCGATTTTTTTGCCTAATGGTACATCAAGAAATAAATGAACTGTTTCGTATAACATATTCCCGAAAATAAATCAGTTGGAATATGCCCGGGTATGGCCCTCTTCGAATAAAAATCAATTTTGAGGAGTCTAATAGGTACTTCATTTGTAGAGTTGATTGTTACAATGAATGTCAAAAAATGTTCAAGGCCTTTATAAGATATATATGCAAACGGATGTATTAAAGTTACATGAGTGATTGCATATTGATTTGCAAAAATGAATCATCTCAGAATTAAATGATGGTATCGAGATGCGATAGAGAACGTTTTCTATTTCTATAGTTATGTAAAAGTTATTCAAAATACCGGGTGTCCCAAGTTATCGTATACAGGTAATTTCTCGCTTATTTGACAAGATAATTGAAAAATTAAAAAACTGCATTGAATGGCATTGAAATCCCTTCCTCATGACACATAAAAAAATCTATTAAATTCGACAGTACTCTGGCAGCTATCCCCCACTTTTTATTTTCAAATGGCACCCCCTGTATATTGTCATTGAAAATTGAATGCCATCCTATAAGGAATACAACGATATCATATACTTGGAACTTTTTTATCATTATAACAAAAACAGCAACATTTGATTAAAGCTTCTATGCGAATCGAAAAATGAACTAGAAATCACAGCACGTGTTCAAAAATATTATGACATGAGAAGCATCGGCTTCTTGAAACTAAAAACATGAGCGGAGGCAATATTTCATTTTTATAAGGATACTTGCGTAACTTGAAATAGTCACAAAATGTTGATATTTTTGTTATCAATGAAAAAATACCAAGTATACGCTATCGTTGTATTCCAAATTGAGTGACACGTAATGTCAATATACAGGGGATGCCATTTGAAAATGAAATGTGGGGGGTAGCTGCCAGAGAACTGTCATATACAGGGTGATTCACATAAGAACCGACATAGAGCAGGGGCATGTAGAAGGTCCCAAAATATGGCAATTTAACGCAACTTACCTCCATACCAAGTTGCTTCCCTAAGGAGTTATAGGCTTTGAAAGTGAAGTTATAAATTTTGAAAAAAATTAATATCTCCGTTATTCTTGAACTTGCAACCAAATTTGGTACACTTTGTGGATGTATTTAGGGCGTTACTTGACAGTAACTAGAGTTTAATTGAAATTTGTAAAGGGGGTATACCGGGTGGCGCACTATTAATAATCAACAGAATTTTGTTAATCCTTGATGGATTTTTAAAATCTTTGCTTTGTTTTGTGGGCAATTCAATTATAAAACTTTTCTTAGACTAGTAATTTCTCGAAAAACCTCATCATTTTCATCAAAAACTCGAATAACTGAAAACGCGTGCTCTAGGTGTGTTATTTAAAATCATCGAAAATTCAAAAGTTGACTATGAAAATAAACGTCAAACTTGACAATGAAGCAAGTAAGCTGTTCAATTAAGTAATTTATCGGTAAACAATTGCTTGTTCTGGTTGTTGTTTAAGTTTTTTGTGTTTATTTTGGTTAGTTGTTTATCCCAATTTTTCACATTTCAGTATCTGTACTTACTTTACGTATTTTGTTACGTATCTAAATGATAATTCGCCAGCCAATTTCTACTGATCACAATTAATGACCAACTTTTTTGTTTTACGGGAGATTGACTATGGATTTCTCGACTTCAACAGCTGATATCTCGAAAACGAAAAAAGATATTTGAAATTTGGAGAGAGGTACTTGAATGAGATGTCATTTCCTTCTAGAAAATGTGTTCTCTGCTTGATTTTATCATTTCATATACAGGGTTTGTGGAAAAAAATTTTTTTTTCGAATGTAACCCCCTGTATATTATCGCATATTTCGAAAGGTCTATCTTTCTTGATTTCAAAGATATATACTTTTCATATATTCTATCGAGGGCTTGACGAAATATCAGCAAAATTAAGCATTAATATTTGGTCCAAGTAGGCTATGGTTGAAATAGAATGAGATGATGAATAAGTGAATTGACATTTGGCCAACATTCCAGGGACATAAGTGCGCAAAATTTCGACAATTTTCTCACGATGCCATATCCACTGGAACAAAGAAGAGATATTTTGGAGTGCTATTTTTCAGTTAATAAAAATCTTGCTGAAACACTTACACTTATACTTACTTATATTTAATCTTTCAGATATGACAAGACAAAATTCAATCCGCTTCTCATTATCATCATAATTGAGTTTGTGGCATGGTCTAATTCTGAAATCCCTATATTTATATTTCCTTAAGGTATGTTGAACAAAATAATAGCTGAAACCAAACTCTCTCACTGCTTTTCTTATTGACCGTGAAGGATCCTCAACAAAATACTGATGGATTACAAGAAGTTCCTCGTCTTCGTTGTCTTGCCTTCTCACTATTCTCTTGATATTCGACAAACTGGAAGTTCTGTCAAATTTAGCAGCCAAATATTTTACATAATTCTTACTTGGTAATCTCCTGCCTGGATAACTCCTCATAAACTTATGAAGTGTTTCAGCAAGATTTTTATTAACTGAAAAATAGCACTCCAAAATATCTCTTCTTTGTTCCAGTGGATATGGCATCGTGAAAAAATTATCGAAATTTTGCGCACTTATGTCACTGAAATGTTGACCAAATGTCAATTCACTTATTCATCATCTCATTTTATTTCAACCATAGCTAACTTGGACCAAATATTAATATTTAATTTTGCTGATATTTCGTCAAGCACTCAATAGAATATATGAAAAGTATATATCTTTGAAATCAGGAAAGATAGCTCTTTCGAAATATGCGATAATATACAGGCGGTTCCATTTGAAAAAAAATTTTTTTTTTCACATACCCTTTATATGGAATGATAAAATCAAGCAGAGAACACATTTTCCAGAAGGAAATGACATCTCATTCAAGTAACTTTTTCCAAATTTCAAATATCTTTTTTCGTTTTCGAGATATCAGCTGTTGAAGTCGAGAAATCATAGTCAATCACCCTGTACGTTTATTTTCATAGCCAACTTTTGAATTTTCGATGATTTTAAGTAACACACCTAGAGCGCGCGTTTTCAGTTATTCGAATTTTGATGAAAATGATGAGGTTTTTCGAAAAATTACTGGAGTAAAAAAAGTTTTAGAATTGAATTGCCCACACAACGAAGCAAAGATTTTCAAAATCCATCAAGGGTTAACAAAATTCTGTTGAATATTAATGGTGCGCCACCCGGTATACCCCCATTACAATTTTCAATTGAACTCTAGTTACTGTCAAGTAACGCCCCAAATACATCCACAAAGTGTACCAAATTTGGTTGCTTTAAATTCAAGAATAACGGAGATATTGAATTTATAGCTTCACTTTCAAAGCCTATAACTCCTTAGGGAAGCAACTTGGTATAGAGGTAAATTGCGTTAAATTGCCATATTTTGGGACCCCCTACATGCCCCTGCTCTATGTCGGTTCTTATGTGAATCACCCTGTATAATGAATTTTCTTTATATGTCATTAGGAAGGTACTTCAATGCAAATCAATGAATTTTTCGAATTTTTCAAGTATCTTGTCAAATAAGCGAGATATTAAGTGTATACGATAACTTGGGGCACCCGGTATAAAAATACTTATTTTCTTGACCAATCTAATTTCAGTTTCGGATGTTTTCGGAATTGAGCACACGTTCCACCTGGTCATCATATGGAATAATTGAAGATTTTCTTAGGGAAAAAATACATGTGTATACTCCTACTCATTTGAAAAAAAAACCACCAACCTCTCTGGTCCTTGAATTTCTAATGATAATCCCTAAATTCTATTTTGGGCTGCTAAACCATTTCGTACCGCCCTGTATATCACAAGATAATCTCGAAAAGTGTTCCGGTTTTTCCCAAGTCAACCGTGAAACATGTTTTTTGATCGTTTTCTGTTTTTCATTTCTGTTATATTGCGGTGTTTTTATTCTTTTCGCCAATCCTGGTTGTATCAACTTATTTGGGGTTATTTTATCCATTCAGGTATTATGGTGGCAATGAATTCATTGACCAAATTGAGCTGTTAGCACAAAAAAGGAGTTTGGAAACATATAAATTGAAAGCAGAAGAATGGGGAGTAAATGTTCAACCATATTCTGGATCTCCTGCAAATTTCGCAGTGTACACAGGTAATTTTTATGAAATAGTTATGATATACAGTATGGTCATTTAATTTTGCAACATAAGGAAATCTTTTTAATGAATTGCACAACCAGAATACAGATAGTGCCAAAAGTTGGTGCATGTTCGCTAATCATTTAAGGTGCACTTAGAATGGTTGCAAGTCACACAGCATACAGGGTAGGTCAAAAAATAGAAAAATTGCTCAAAAGTAAAGTACCCTTATTTCAGAAAATTCAGCAAAATGTTATTGAGAAAAGTTGTTTACGATTGAAAGCTATGCCTAAATACCAAAACATGGCCTCCTTAGACATTTTTTAGTTTTTCAATTTTGTTCGTGAATAATTTCCCAATTTGTAATTAGTTTCATATTCACACTGAATACTTTCATGAGTTAATCATATCAAAATCAGTTGAGCCTACCTTTGTTCAAATTCAAGCATATTTGTGCATTAGGGAATCACAAACTTTATGTTTGTTGCAACGATATTCAGCTAAACTTTAAAATTTCGCAAACCATATTTTTAACAAGGTGAAACATCATTATTGATAATATGCATATTCAAAGACTTCCATTCAATGTACACATTTTGTATTTGAAATATTACAAATTGGGAAATTATTAACGAACAAAATTGAAAAACCAAAAAATGTCTTAGGAGGCCATGTTTTGGTATTTTGGCATAACTTTCAATTGTTAACAACTTTTCTCAATAACATCTTGCTGAATTTTCTGAAATAAGGGTAGTTTACTCTTGAGCAATTTTTATATTTTCTGACCTACCCTGTATGCTGTGTAACTTGCAACCATTCTAAGTGCACCTAAAATAATTACCGAACATGCACCAACTTTCGGCACTATCTGTATTTTGGTTGTGCAATTCATTGAAAAGATTCCCATATGTTGCACACTTAAATGACCACACTGTATATAAGAATTTATCAACTAGCGCATTATTTCGAAGCAGCATTCTTGAAATTGCTTCAGGCGGTCTATCTCTCGATCCACATCATTGTGAATCACAAAGGTATAGTATGCCATGAACAATTATTGACGACGTTTGAACGAAAGTCAATTTAACACTTCTGTCATCATGAATTAATTGATTTTTATATCGCGTAACTGCATTTGAAAGTTTTGATTAGAGGTTGGTTGAGAATATGAAGAAGCGAATGATATCATTGGATCTCAAAATGGATATTATTGTTACTTGTTTTACAATGATGACAAAGACACTGATTTCATAGATTGCACAGATTTCATAGGTATATTGACGCTAAAAGATGCATGCTGAAGCCAATTTATATTACCTCCCACGGGAGTTAATATTTTTTTTCCTCCTGTGGGAGTAAATCGACAACTTTGTTTCCTTAAATGAAGCAGCAAACGCCTACTTTCGATTAAGTGAGTAGATAAAACATATTTATTGGTCTTATTCACAGAACTCTCTGAGTTCTGTGGTCTTATTCTTAATTACAGGGTCTCTATAAACGATCGTAACATCGTAGTGGCTGTTGAATTTTTTTTCTATTTGCCGCTTTCTACTAATGCTGTTAACAACATTCAACGACCAAAAAGAGAGGAAATGATAATATACAGGATCTTTTTTAATATCGTTTTGCATACACTATGGAAATGTATCTGAAAGAAAGGAGAGTCCAATATTGGAACAAATCAAAAATATTTATTGAAGAAGTAATGAATAACGATTTATTTCATTAACCTACATCAAATATCCAAAAGGTTCTCCGTTGTTCTCCAAGCATTTCAAAACTCTTCGGCGTTTGTTGTCGAAAATGTTCCTCAGCATTAGCGGGCCAATATTTTGGCAGCAATGTGTTATTGAGGCTTGCAGCTCTTCAAGGTTATTATTGTCTCTCTTGAATACTTCGTCTTTCAAATATCCAAAAAGGCAGAAATCCGAAGGCGTCAAATCTGGAGAACGTGTTGGAAAAGAAGGATTAACTCCTCGACTTATCACACGGTTATCATAACATTCTTGTAAATATTCTAAATTTGCACGTGTGGTGTGGGCAGTGGTCCCATCTCGCTGAAAATAGCCAACTCGAATTTCTTCATCATCAAGTTGATTGATGAATCGTTCTAACATTACTTGTCTGTACCTTCCACCATTAATAGTGCCATCGAAGAAAATCGGTTCATATATTCGCCTACGAGAAACTGCTAACCACACCCCAATTTTTTGAGAATGTAGTGGAGTCTCAATTAAATTGTGGGGATTCTCAGATCTCCAAAACCTAGAATTTTGTGAGTTCACGTATCCCGACAAATGAAACCAAGCCTCATCGCTGACAAATGTTAGGTCCAATAGCTGGTCATCGTTGAGATTATTTTGGAACCATTGGCAGTACTCCAGACGACGTGGGATATCTATTGGCAGAAGTTGCTGTAGTACACTGGTCTTGTAAGAGTGCATATGCAATCTTTTCTTGAGCACTTTATGGCATGTTCTTGTAAAGATAATCTCTTCAATGACGTTTGGGGATTTTGCTCAACACGCGCCCTTAGATTTTCGACAACTTCTTCCGATATTTGGGGCCTTCCTGTTGATTTCTTTCTATTAACGTTTCCAGTTTGGATGAATCTGTTGATCACTGTTCTGATGTGGGCTTTCAAAGATGATTCTTGAATCTGTACATTAGGATATTTTGCCAGGTACTCATCCTTGCAGGCTACTACCGAGTAACTCCATCCACCATTGATGAATGTGCCATTTCGACAATAAGACATTACAATAAATTTTAATGTATTCTGCTCCGAGGAATAAAAGCCATCCCTCTTTTCAACGAAAAACTGATAATTGTGAGTTTATCAGCTATGACAGTATAATGATTGATGCCAGAAATTAAATTCGAATGTGTGAATCTCCATAAATGAAAGGTGGCAAATGGAGAAAATATTTCAACGGCTACTACGATGTCACGATCATTTATAGAAACCCTGTATATGTACCACTAATTTATGGTACACACCCCCTTTACTTTTTTCCCCGCTATAGTTCTGGAATTTGGAACATTGAATATTCTCACTAGGCGGCACTTTTTTCATATTTGGAAATACAAATCAACTTCCGCTTTTTCCGAAAATGACATCATCTTTAGATTTCAAAAGGGGACATCCTGTATATAATGATATTCTTAAAATCTTCATTATTATCTGAATCCAATGATATTTCGAAAATGCGATAGTGTAGCACTATTTTGATCATTTCCAATAATTTTAGGGAGTTCATGGTTCTCCAGATCAAAAAATGAAATGGATGTTCTGACAAATGAAATAAATCATATTTTTTTTACAAAAATGTAAAAAAATGCCGTCTAGTAAGTAAACTGATCGAAAAAAGTTGAGGATATTTTTAGACGCAAACGACATAGATATTGATAGCTATACAACAATGTTTCTAGAAAAATGTCTTCATAGAAAAATACAACTATACAGTGCTTTCGTAAAGTATTGATTGGATTGATTTTTAGTCCAACTCCATTCATGAGGAATTCCAGAAACAGGTCGATTTTTAAAATCAATTTGCCACATTCATAAGGGAAAATCTAATATACAAGGTGATCCACGTTAGAGTTATGACGTCCGGGGAATTTTTTTAAAATAGAAAACACTATGTGTTATTAAATTTTCGAAATCTCAATAGATAGCTGAATTCAAAAATATATCACGCGTTGGATTTGTATACAGTGTGTTCGTTTGATTCAGTGCCCTCATAAAATGGGGTTGCCATAAAAAAAATAACGATGACGCTGTTCTTCAGTTTGGAAAAATATCCAAATGAAAATAAGATTCGACATTGAGCATTCTTTCCAAAAACTATTCCTTTCACGAATTTATCCACTACTTTACAAATGCACTGATTTCAACGGATGCACTGTAGCAAACCCTATCTGTGATATCCATAAAGATTTCAAAAATTGAATAATATTGTAATGATATCCCCCTGTAAGGGGCTCTAGAACATCATCAGGAAGGCAGGAATACAACGATCACACAGTAACACGCGTCCCGGATCACTCTCGAACATCCCAATAATTCTTACATGTACCAGCGTATTTCCGAACACCCAATATGTGTCACGGCGACACATAACCTGACAGAAGAATCTGGAATCATCTCGAAACAATCGATGGAACAATTAGAAAGAGAAGCTTCTAGAACAAAAGAAGGGTACGGAAGATCACTCGAGAACGTTCGAGAAGCAAAGCCTACCAAGGGATCTGATATATACGGACGGCCGGACAGTTGCCGTCAGTCTGACAAGCTGCGAGTGTCACAGAGACAATCATGTACCGCGTGATATAAATCATTTTACATAAATAGTAGTTATAAGTTCGATATAAATTAGTATTGCGGACGTCATTACCGAAACGTAGATCCCCCTGTATATTTGATTTCTCCTTATAAATGCGAATGTGGCAAATCAGATTAAAAATCGACCTGTTTTAGAAGATTTCTCAGAAATTGATAGTTTGGCTGAAAATTATTTATCAAAGTTGGCATCCACTGTGTCATGAAAAAAATAGGTAACTGAGGTAGGTAGGTTTCTCTAGCAATTTTTTGTTTGTTTTAGGTATTGTGGAACCTCATGGGCGTATTATGGGACTGGATTTGCCTGACGGTGGGCATTTAACTCATGGTTTTTTCACTCAAACCAAGAAGATCTCAGCAACATCAATCTTTTTCGAATCTATGCCATACAAGGTATACATGATGAAACCATACAAAATATCATTATTTTGTCACAAACCTTGTCGAAATCAATGATAAAAATCGAAGTATTTTACATACTAATCATATATTCAAATGACTTGTAGATGATCTCAAGTATGTTTTAGTAGAGTCGATGTATTTGTTCCAGGTCGATCCAGTTACTGGTCTCTTGGACTACGACAAGCTCTTAGAGACAGCAAGACTGTTCAAACCAAAAGTAATCATTGCCGGAGTCAGTTGCTACTCTAGAGCCTTGGACTACAAGAGGTTCCGTGAAATTTGCGATGACGTAGGAGCTTACCTGTTCTCAGATATGGCTCACATCTCTGGTCTGGTAGCAGCAGGTGAGACCCATGAAAATGATCTCTTCTTTTTTTATTGATGTCTTTTTCCTTGTCAAATGCTTTTGATATATTCAACACCACAGCTAGAGATTCTCCGAGCTTTTCCGATTGAGCTTGTCAACTTTGCTTGCGTGGATGAATGTTTGAATATAACATTTTTTAAATAATATTCATGCACTGTTTATATTCATATTTCACTCTATATTTTTACTATTAGATGTATATCATTTATACAACATTATGGAGTCCTTAGTATTTAGTAGTAGTTTTTAGTGACTTCATGATCACAGAGTGATCATATGTCATGTAATTGGACATATTGGAATGAATAATATGAAATGAAATGGAATGAAACAATGGCTATGATGTTATCATTGCTTGTGCCAAAGGTTCCAGCCTATAGTAAATAGTAGGGGAGACAAAGGGGCTTAATAGGGATTTATACTGGAGCGTCGTGGAGACGTATCAGATTGTGAAGATTAGATGCGGGAATGAGAAAAAGTTAATATGATATATGACTTTTCACTGGTGGGGAGAGCGTGTACAGGTGTTCCAGAATGTTAAAAAAACATCAGATATTGATAGTGTATGCCGGTATCTGCCGGTTTGCATGGTGGGGGGTGGCCGTACGAAGGGATAGAGCAGGGGTTCTCAACCGGTGGTGAATTCCCCCCTGGGGGGGAATTTTTCGTTTTCTAGGGGTGAAAATCACCACATCGATTGACCAAATGAAAAGCTTGAATTGATTTAAAATTCAAGAATTTCATCAGAATATTAATACCAAAATGAATAATATATCGCGATTTACCAAAAATTTAGTTTTCATAAAACTGGAAGAAATACAAACATTATAAAATTTACAGACTACTTGAAAGCTTTTATGAGTAAGTTGGAAAATTGGAAAAAAAAGGTTGAAGAAAACAATGTTGCAATGTTTGTGGAACTTTCAATGGTTCTTACTGCAAGCAGTGGAATTCAAGTTATTCCAAAATTTATACAAAGTGAAGTTTCACAACACCTGGCAGCATTAGAAGTAGAATTTAACCGATATTTTCCAGAACTAAGTAAAAATGAGTTGGATTTATTAAGAAATCCATTTAAATTGGCTGTTGAAATAGTGCCTGATGATTGTCAAGATGAATTTCTGGAGCTCAAAAATGATTCAGGAGCCAAAGATTTGTTCGACGAAAAATCAGTTTCAGAATTTTGGCCCTTGATGTGCGAATCCTACCCAAAAATAGCAGAAATAGCCATACGTGCATTACTTCCATTTGTGTCGACATATCTTTGCGAATCAGGATTTTCAACCATGCTGCAAATAAAAACCAAACAACGAAGTAGGTTGGAGGTTGAGGATGATATGCGTTGTGCTCTTTCGAAGACTTCACCGCGCATTCAAGAGTTGGTCAAGAATAAGACTTATACATCTGTTTTAGTTAGTTTAAGTTTCAGTACATCAGTGAATCATGAGTGATATATGTTATGTTATGTATTATTACTATTGTAATCAACATTTATGTAATGAAAGCTAAAATGTATAAGGGGAGTATTTTAAGGGGGGATTGTCATCTGGGATAATGGTAAAAAGGGTGCATGGGGTCAAAAAGGTTGAGAACCCCTGGGATAGAGAATAGGTAAAAAAAATGTATTAGAGCGCGTCAGATATTGAGAAGGGATGTTAAGTGAAACCTCAAGTAGCAACTATTCAAAAGACTGACGATATTGTCACGACCCATGGCTACAGGGTGGTGACTCGGTGGTGAACTCGCTTGGGAGGCCGAGAAATCAAAACAGTTGTTCGTTATATAGCCAGTTTATTAAAAGAAATTAGTTTCATTAGTGATTTGAACAAACGAGATTCAATGCAAACGTACATCAGACTTCGCAATATTTAATAGTTTGACAACATGGCGATAGTGACAGTAGTACTTACAAAATAATCTCTAGCAGATGCAGGGGATGAACCATAGTGAAGGCTAGCTGATCAGATCAAAACTGATCTCCTGCCTTATCGGCTGTTCGATATTTATTTAGGATATTTTGACATAGCGTTTTACTCCATATGCGAGTATTTCATTCCGGTTGAATGAGCTGCCAACGTGAGTGAAACATTATACTCGTTTTCTTTGATCGAATGTTATACGATGAAATGAATAATGAACTTTTATTAATGACTCTTGAGTCAATATTATTTTGAATAGTAGCTATGAATATTTTTGGTTCCTATCGTGACAATATGAAAATGAAAAAAAAAATCGTGACCTTGAAATACTCGAGTGCGACAGATTATTATACAGGCGCTTCATCTTAATGTCCTTGTCATATCGAGCCATGATCTGACAATTAAGTAGAGGAATTACCTTGATCTGACCGTTGGATTTTTTTTGCTGAATGTAATAACTAAAATATACAGTGTGAGTCACTTTTTTGTAGCAGGACTTCAACAGCTCGAATAATTCACAATTTTAAGATGGAAGGCTCATGTAGACATACAGGGTGGACGAATATTGTGGCAAAGTGAGATAACGGCTTTGATGTTTGAGATAGATGAACAAAAATACTTGATAAATACTGTCTGTAGGTTAATCGAGGAGGTGGTATATTCATTATTCCAAATTTTTTGGAATTTTCTCTCCTCGTTTCTATAAAATAAAAATATGAATATTATTTCAATATACGTGTAGTAAGGACAAATCAGATGATTTGCCCCAAAATGTCACTGCGTTTAAAGAATTTTCCTATCAGAGAGCCTAAAAGAAAAATTCACTAGCTTGTCAGTGACAATTTGTATTGAAAAATTTTTGGAGAAGAGAAATAAAGGTATATAGAAAAAATATCAAATTTTCACTTATCTTTGGACGTTTCGGGACCGATTCTGCTCCCGTTTTCAACATGAAGAGATTTTTTCAATTGCGAAAGCTTCAAGACATATTATACGACTTCGCAATTGAAAAAATCTCTTCATGTTGAAAACGGGAGCAGAATCGGTCCCGAAACGTCCAAAGATAGTGAAAATTTGATATTTTTTCTATATACCTTTATTTCTCTTCTCCAAAAATTTTTCAATACAAATTGTCACTGACAAGCTAGTGAATTTTTCTTTTAGGCTCTCTTATAGGAAAATTCTTTAAACGCAGTGACATTTTGGGGCAAATCATCTGATTTGTCCTTACTACACGTATATTGAAATAATATTCATATTTTTATTTTATAGAAACGAGGAGAGAAAATCCCAAAAAATTTGGAATAATGAAAAATACTTGAGATGGTCTAGTCTCATGAGCAGTACATTTCTGAAATATTCATATAGGGTTAGTCAAAAAGTCACGCTCAAATCATCAGATTATCGAAATGCAAACTTTTCTGCATGTAATTAACGTACCATGTCTTAATCTGACACGCTCTAGTATTTCTGACGATCGTTTTTTTTTTTACTAATCTGATCGGCTGCCCTAAACTTTCGACACCATATAAAGGGCCCAGGTATGGTGGGAGAGTTCTTCACAATGTCGAAGGATACCCCCTTATGTTGATCTGTCGCTCCCGAAATCCCCCGCTTTGGCTTCCCTAGCTATAAATAAATTATTTTGAAAAAAAAAAGAAACAAATGAACTACTAAGTGTGTAAATATATATTGTTTATGAATTTCCAGGTGTGACTCCAAGTCCATTTGAATACAGTGATGTTGTTTCAACGACAACACACAAAAGTCTGAGAGGACCAAGAGCTGGGGTGATATTTTTCAGAAAAGGAGTACGGTCCGTGAATAACAAAGGAGAGAAAATAATGTATGACTTGGAAAGTAGAATTAACCAAGCAGTATTCCCTGGATTACAAGGTAATCCTCATGTGATTATTTTTTTTCTCAGCGTGTGTTGATAAATTCACCAATTTGATCCATCGGTACCACTGGTGGAAAGTTTAGTGTTGAATTCACACTAATATGTAGTATCATGGAAAAATATTGTGTTGCTCAATTTACCTGTTGAACAACCTGTTTTAATTAATGCAATTTTTTTGTAGTAGAGCACTTTCTATATACAAGTTGGCTGGAATTATAGCCTCATTATTGGGACTCGTAAACCGTAAGAGTTACAGGGTCGTGTCGGTTAAATTATGGCAAAGTTGCACAATATTATGTCTCTAACAAAATGCTGTTTTGAAACTTGAAAAATTTCCAATGTTTTTCATGCAATGGGCTCGTTTCAGTGACCAATTTTTTTTCATTATTTTGGAAGTACTAATCCTAACTGGTTCACTGTCGCAAACAGTTTTTTCCTCAGAGCTCTGCATCTTTTTTAAATAATTATTAAATTTCACTATAATTTATGACATGAAAAAAAAAGACGGGAAAACGCATGACGTAATCATCCGGGAACACCGAAAATTCGACTTATGTATCAATTCTTTATTTCTGATAGACAAGTGCAAGAATATTTCTGATTGTCATTTCAAACAGAATATGGAATGAATTATCTGGAATGAATGATGGAAGTAAGATATGGTGTAATTACTGATGCGCTTTTGTTTCAGAAATTTTACTCGACCTCTCGAGAACAGCGAGAGCAATGGTTCCGACGATTACAAATATGACATCTGTCAGTTTTGAAATTGTCGCAGATTTTTCGAATTCAGAGTTGAATAATCCCACTGTTACATATGTTCGGCGTACCTAAAATGCCATTCGTCATTTTATTTCTACTCGTCACAGCAGCAATAGGAGCATCACCATCTAGCGGGAATATGTAGAATCAACGTCTCGCTCGTTGTGACGTAGAGAAATCATAGTAGGCGGTCGAGTGATTTTTCTGAAATTTCCAATACGTAATAATGGCCGAATACGCGCGCCATATCTTACTTCCATCATTCAACACAACACACCACTAAAGAATCAGATTATGAGGTTTATCTTTGAATATTTACATCTTGACAAGATGAAACAAGGATTTGACGATGAAGATGACAGCCGATATTAACGTCAGGATGCCTTCTCCTTCTTCTTCTCCTTGTTTCTTTAACGTCAGCCTTTTTCTGCTACTGAGGCTAATCACCGACGCCGGTGAGCACACTACCCCTAACCGGAAATTTTGCCGAATCCTCTGGTGTTCCAACCAGAGGTAGGGATCTTCAACGAGTCCAACATCCATGGCTTAACGTTCCCTCCGAGTTAATCAAAAGTTGAGATAGGGACATGTAAGCCGTTTTGACCAATTATGAATAGTTTCGACACAAAAAATTCTTGAACTTGGAAAATCTCGATTTCTCACACCCTATATTTCAGTAATTATAACTGCTAGACCCCAAGTATGATGGGTCGTTGAAATCAGCTCATCAGGGAGAATCTCAAAATGAAATAATGTATAGGGTGTTCGATAGAAAAAAGTTCAACTTCAGTGTTTTGGGATTTTTGGGGACATCCTGTATTTTTCAAAATAATTTCAAATGGTAGCCTATGTTGACATGCAACTTCCTAGAGAGGAAGAATTCCAAGAAGATAAGTGGTTAGCCTTCTAGAGACCGAGGCGTTACTGGTGGCCCACCCTGTATACATATCCTCCGTGTGGGACAGAGGTGGCTGGTGTTGGCCAAAGGAATGTGAGTGCATATGTGAAGTGTTCGTCACAGCGGCCTATCTCCTATGGCTAAGTCCTTTATATGTATTGGTAATCTCACTGAAGATACCCAATGGGTGGAGGAGTCATTCAATCATTGGTGAGTGTTGTTATGGTTTTGGAGGGACATAAAATAAGTAAACAAAAACTTCCGAACGACTAGTGCCTTACCTGAGAAGCTAGGGCGATGCCCACGGTCAGGGAGTTAGGTTGACATTGTAGTTCGTCTTCTTCTTCTTTTTTGTATTTCTGGGAATTTAGGCATCACACTGTTGCCCGTGCCATAAAATAATTTGAGATTAAATAAAATCTCGATCATTATTAGGAATAAATACTCGGATATTGTCTATTGTCTTCTGTGAATGTGAATAATGTTGTCATTGGTCATATTGAATCTCATATAGTAATGACTAGTTACAAATCTGGCAGCGTCGAAATGTGTGGTCCTACTTTTTATGCAAAAAAGGCAAAAAGTCGCCGAATTTAATTATCCCCCCCCCTCCCTCCGAAATTTCAGTTAATGAGAAAGTAACCTATGTAAATTCAAAAATTTCCAAATTGTATGAACGCACATTAGGAAATTTATACAACGATGGCAACAGCGGCGACAACCGTTATTATTGCACAACGTCCTAGAATACAAGAACGTCCTATTCCCCAATTCCCCCCCCCCCACTCTCACTCAGTGCTTAGTGCGTGCGCATTGCTGTCGTAAATTGCAAGTTGCATATGCTTATACCAGAAGAAGATGAGCGTACAAGTTTAGCCCTAATGAGTATTCATCATAATATTCAAATACAGGCTGATTCACGGTGGATGGCACATTAGACGTTTCTGGTGAACCAGACAACGGATCATTTTGAAAATTTAATGGAGGGCATATTCGGACATTCTCTAAACTAAAATATTTTCGACAATGCGGTGTTGCCGCTTCTATTAGAAAGCAGTAGCAACTTTGATTTTTCAAATGGAACACTCTGTATTTTATTGCATTATTAGATTCTCCCTGAAGAGCAGATTTCATCGATGTATCACACTTGGGGTCTAGCGGAAATGATTAAAGAGATATAGGGTGTGAAAAATCGACATTTTTCAACTTTAGGATTTTTTTTTGTCGAAACTATTCATTATATTTCGCAGTCTCGTCTCAGATTATAAACACCCTGTAGTCCTAGCGCGCTATACCTTGCCTACGACGTTTAAAGAAATACAAGTTTTTTGTTTATTAGTCACCGGTATTTCTTTATCACTTCCCGAACTTGATTTATCTTCATTCTAGTTCGTCGTACCGCGCCTATAAGACGTTTTTTTCGGTTATTTTAAAAATAAGTGAAAACGTGAAAACAGTGAAAAATATTCGAGTGCTTTAAGAATATGGGGAATAATAAAAGACACAGGAATGATAAACTGGACAAATTCCAGCGGAAACTTAGAAAAATTCAAAAAGAGTTGGAATCAATTCGCCAAAGTAAGTTCAATATATTAATTACGTATTCCTCAAATAGTTACGTCAATTTATTATGTCTTAATCAAAATATATATGTATATATATATTTAAATAGACTTAGAACAAGATGATTCAAGGCGGAAGATCGCAAGACATTAGTTTTTGCAATTCAATAAAAACGGCTGATACATCTCATGCCGAAATTTAGTTGGTTCTCGTTTCATATGGAAATACACATGTATTTACTAGAAACGCTAACAAACAAGGTACCTAACTACACACATGTGCTATGTTATACCTTTACCAACAAAAACGAAGAAAATAAGGGCTGAAACATTTCATGCCCACAATAATCGTGCACATGCACAACTGAGTTCATTAAACAAATTTTAATGACGTCACCCGTCTTCCATTGTACAGGGTGATCGGAAGATATTACGAATATACTAATACCTAAATACCTAAATGTATTATGTAAATAGATTTTCATGCTTGGTTCCTCACACAGGTTCGAGTTCAAGTTCAAGTGAATCTGAGAGCGATTACGATTCTCAAGTTAGTTATCAGGAAGTACTTTCTCCTGTTCCTGACGAGTTGCAACCAATAATGGAACAACCGGTGGTGGACGCCGTAGAGATATTAGGAGTGGACCCGTTGGCTACTAGGCCAACAGGCCCGGATGTGCATGAGCAAATTGCAAGTAGATGTACCATATTTCTGCAGAAGGGTATAGAGAAGGTAGATCGAAAAGAGCTAACCGAGAAATATCCACCTCCTAACAACGTGCCAGCCCTGAATCCACCCAAGATGAACCCCGAAATTCAAGGATGCTTAACAGAAAACCTAAACAAGCAGGACAGCTTCCTGACAAAAGTACAGGAACAACTGAGTGCCGCGATATGCGCAGTAGCCATTCCGCTCAACACTTTTTTCTCATCAGCTGCAGATGATACTAATCCACATCTTCTGCACTTAGCAAACGCAGCTAAACTTTTGGCAGATGTTCATCATACAATCTCCTCGCATCGACGATACGGCGTATCCGGGACCCTGGATCACTCGGTCAAGAAAACAGTCATGGACAGGCCAATTGATGAGTGGCTTTTTGGGAGCAACCTCGGCGATAATGTCAAAAGTACCAAGGAAATTCAAAAGGCATCGGCTGATTTGAAATTGAAACGAATCAACCGGCCAACTTATCGTCCGAATTCGATACAGAGCAACCAACCCACAACGTCATCAGCAACTCCTTTAAACTTCAAGCGCCAATCGAGCAAATTTCGACGCAAAAAAGAGGAGGGAGGCAGGAAGGACAGGCCAGTCCAGCAACAGCGATGGGGAGGGGAGAAGAGGAAAGAACCACCACGCAGGAGAACGTAGAGGTAACCTATGCCGGTAGATTGAAAAAATATTCCAATGTATGGAAGAACATTACAGATAGTTCTCTAATTTTAGAATGGACTAAAGGATATAATATTCCCTTCGAAGAACAACCATATCAACGAACAGAACCCCCAGATATAACAAGTACATGTCAAATGACAACAGTGGACAATATTGTCCGCGAGTTACTTACCATGGGTGCGATATCGCATTCCAAACACGAAAACGGGGAGTTTCTGTCAAATTATTTCCTCACACAAAAATCAAATGGTTCATTTAGATTTATATTGAATCTGAAAAAATTGAATTCATTTATAAATCCTCCTCATTTCAAATTAGAGGACTATCGTAGTGTCAAGGACCTCTTACATGATGGCAATTATGTTTGTACTATTGATATCAAAGATGCATACTTTTTACTCCCTATTCACCAGGACCATAAAAAGTACCTAAAATTCAAATTTCAAAACACACTATATAACTTCAACTGCTTGCCCTTTGGCTTATGCACAGCACCATACGTTTTCACAAAACTCCTGAAACCGGTACTGTCCCACTTGCGAAACCAGGGGATTATTTGCGTAGCTTACCTGGACGATATGATTATTATATCACAGACATATAAAGAATGTGCACATGACACTCTCCTAGCCGTGAATCTGCTCAAATCATTAGGCTTCATCATAAATACAGAAAAAAGTAAACTAGAACCGAAACAAGATTGTCGTTTCTTGGGATTCATATTCAATACTATCGATATGACCATGACATTGCCAATAGAGAAGAAACAAAATATCAAACAATTGACTGTAAAGTATCAAAATAATCCTCATGTCTCCATAAGAGAGTTTGCTAAATTTATTGGCGTATTAACCGCGGCTTGCCCGGCAGTCAAATACGGGTGGGTTCATACAAAAAAAATGGAAAGGGCGAAATATTTGGCCTTAATAGAATATAACGGTGATTATGATAAGACATTTCAATTACCAAGTTTCATTAACGAAGACATACTCTGGTGGCAATATCATGTCGGTAATAGTCGAATGACTCTCGAGGAGCCGAAATATGAAATGGAGATATATTCAGACGCATCCAAGTACGGCTGGGGGGCCGTTTGTAATAATAAAAGAGCTCGAGGATTCTGGAATCACTCAGATAGCAAAAGACACATCAATTTCTTAGAACTCAAAGCAGCCTCGAACTCTCTGAAGTGTTTTACTAAAAATAAAAATAATTGTGAAATTATTATCAGAATAGATAACACAACTGCAATTTCCTATATAAATAGAATGGGGGGTATTAAATTTGAGAAATTGAATGATCTCGCTCATGAAATATGGGGCTATTGTGAAGGCAAGAATATATTCCTTCATGCCTCATACATTAATACTAAACAAAACACTCAAGCAGACTACGAATCCAGATGTCGAGACATTGAAACAGAGTACGAACTCTCACAGAAGCATTTCAGAATAATTTGCAAAAAGTTTGGCAAACCACAAATAGATCTATTTGCCTCTAATCTGAATTCTAAATGCGAACAATATGTATCTTGGAAACCAGATCCTGAATCATGCTCTGTCGATGCTTTTCTGATATCCTGGAAACATATTTTTTTTTATGCCTTCCCACCCTTTACCATCATTAATAAAATAATCAGGAAAATAATTAATGATAAAGCAATCGGTATCTTAGTAGTACCAAAATGGACAGCTCAACCCTGGTATCCTATGTTTAGGAAGTTATTAGTCAGAGAATCAATATGTCTAGGACCCGAAGCCAATCTTATTTTATCACCTTTCAGGGAACCCCACCCCCTTTCAAGGAGCCTTATCCTGGAGGTCGGAATCTTATCAGGCAATCATTTCTTCGAAGAAAATTTCCAGAATCAGGTATAGAAGCAATTCTTTCCTCAATAACCGAGAAAACACTCACTCAATATGAGTCTGTATTCAGGAAATGGTGGGAATACTGCATAAATAATAATCAAATACCATACGAATACGATTTGAAGTCCGTAATAAATTTTCTTACAGAAACCTCACAATTGGGGTGCTCGTATTCAAAAATTAATTCATATAAATCAGCACTGGCACTTGTTCTTGAAATTCAAGAACAGGACCAAAATATGATCAAACGTTTCCTAAAAGGGATTTATAATTTAAATCCTCCCAAGCCCAAATATAATTCCACCTGGGACCCATATCCTGTTCTGGATCATTTATCTAAATGGTATCCTTTAGAAAACATCACAATGAAACAATTAACTCAAAAAATGGTCACTCTGATGATACTGATCTCCGGTCAAAGATTGCAAACCTTAACAAAAATCAAAATAGAAAATATCAAACAAACACCTGAGTCTATTATGATATATGTACCCGATAGAATAAAAACATCGGGAAGGAATAGGCTTCAACCTGTTCTCATACTTCCTTTTTTCCACGAGAAACCAGAATTATGCTTGGCATCGACCGTCATAGAATACCTACTAAGAACCAAAAATACCCGGCAAGCCGATGATAGCCACCTTATATTAACTATCAAAAAACCCTTTCGTACAGCTAGCAGTCAAACCATCAGTCATTGGATAAAAAATATTCTTAATGAGTGTGGCATAGACACTGAGGTCTTCACAGCCTACTCCTCGCGTCACGCTGCAACCTCAGCAGCTTATCGAGGTGGCGCAAATATAGAATCCATCAGAAAGGCTGCTGGCTGGACCAACAAATCAGCAGTATTTGCAAAATTTTATAATAAACCTATCGAACCATACCCAAATGATTTCGCGAAAGGCTTATTAAGAAGTTCAGGCTTTGAAGTATAGTTATGTAGGCTTATTTATGAAAACAATCTATATGTCAGAACGAATTTGTATGAATCGTATGTCGAAAGATACATTGAGGAACTCAAAATGAAAATTTAGAATCCAAATTTTGTTGTATATTTTGTTATATTTATTGATATGTATAATATACTTAACTAAAGTTAAAATGATGGAAATATGTTTTGTAATCGTAATTACTTATATACCATATCGTTGAATATTGCGTATGATTGTATATATTATTTTTCTACATGTTAATAAATGTACTGTTTATTTACATTATACATTGACATTTCAATAACATTTAATAATAATGAATGAATATACCTACTATTGAAAGTCAAACACATAATGTGTCCACCTAGATTGCTAGCCAGTCTCTCAACATCTACAGGGTGTTTATAATCTGAGACGAGACTGCGAAATATAATTGAAAGATCAATCGACTTACCTGAAGGAAGAGTGATCTCAATTATATGAGCAGTCTCGTCGAAAGATTATAAACCTCCCTCCCAACTATACCCTCCCTTGCAATCTAGGTAGGTAAGTACTCTGAACCAATGAAGATAAATCAAGTTCGGGAAGTGATAAAGAAATACCGGTGACTAATAAACAAAAAACTTGTATTTCTTTAAACGTCGTAGGCAAGGTATAGCGCGCTAGGACTACAGGGTGTTTATAATCTTTCGACGAGACTGCTCATATAATTGAGATCACTCTTCCTTCAGGTAAGTCGATTGATCTTTCAATTATTGGTCAAAACGGCTCACATGTCCCTATCCCAACTTTTGATCAACTATCTACTAACATTTAATTGAAACAAATACAGGGTGGTGCAGAATTCAGAATCTTGATCACCCGGTATATGTCCCAATTAAATATCAGTAGATAGTTAATCAAAAGTTGAGATAGGGACATGTGAGCCGTTTTGACCGATGATGAATAGTTTCGACACAAAAAAATCCTAAACTTGAAAAATGTCGATTTTTCACACCCTATATCTCTGTAATCATTTCCGCTAGACCCCAAGTGTGATACATCGATGAAATCAGCTCTCCAGGGAAAATCTAAAAATGCAATAAAATACATAGTGTTCCGTTCGAAAAATCAAAGTTGCTACTGCTTTCTAATAGAAGCGGCAACACCGCATTGTCGAAAATAGCTAGTTGGCTAGAGAATGTCCGAATATGCCCTCCATTGAATTTTCAAAATGATCCGTTGTCTGGTTCACCAGAAACGTCTAATGTGCCATCCACCGTGAATCAGCCTGTATATGTATACACTTCTCTAAGAAACATTTTCGTTGAAAGTACTTGTCCGATTTGGACGTTTTGTTTTGAATGACAGGTCATTTCCTTCTGAACATTGGTGTGCAAACTGTATTTGCATGGAATCCTCTTTTTTATACATACCTGATGTAGCAATTACAGCGTGTGTTTTCATGACATTTTTTTATGAAGTTAAAATTAAAATCACACTAGCCTCATATTTTTCAACATTTTTTATTCACTCCATTATCTTTCCTATTAATCAAGAAACACCATTTTATAGCGTTACATGATTTTATGGATAATTAATATCCAAATTGAATAACCACAAAAAGAAACATAATGCGAAGTCACTAGTTAAAACGAAAGCGAGTATTTCCGCCGTGGGCACGAAAGACTAAAGACTGTCTATACCCAAAATAAGAGACCTAATTTCATGTTGGTCCAGCTCTTCCCAAATTTGAATTATAAGTCTCTGCCGCGCGTTTTCCAAAGTATTTTAGTTACGTTTCCTCTTGTAATCTTGTCCCAAGAATGTCCCAGATATTCTCAATGGGATTTAAATCGGGGCTCCGAGCTGGCTATGTCATGGTAGCGATACAGACCTCTTCTATAGATAATTTCCCACAACTTCTGGCTAGTTTTTGATGGTGCGTTAATTTCTTTGTGAAGTGTAATTATCTACTATTTTATCAGAATTTTCAATCATTTTATTGACTTCTTCAATTTTGTTATTTTTTTTATAAATAAGCCTAAATTTGCTCATTTATATTTTTTTATAAAAAAAAAGAATCACTCAAAATTAGGTATTGTCTCCCCCTGAAATATATTTCTGACTACGCCACTGCGACCCTGTATCTCTTATGGTTTACGAGATCCCAATGATGAGGCTCTAATTCCAGACACCCTGTACATGAATTTATGGAAATGACATTTTTACTTTTACTTTTGTATAGGTGGACCACACAACCACGCCATTGCAGGCATTGCGACCGCAATGAAACAGGCCCAGTCTCCATCCTTCCTCGCCTATGCCAATCAAATAATAGCTAATGCGAAAAGATTGAGCGACGGCCTCCAATCAAAGGGATACAAGGTAATATAATTATGCAAATCACCGATTGGTTTCATTGAATGAAAAACTCCTTCCTGAAATACCACTGACATAATAATCTACTATCTCGACCCAGCAACCCAAGAATTTCAGTCAAAGTGCTCGCCTGAAAACGCTTCTGATCGATGCGCTGGAACTCCTAAACTGTCGTTCATGACAGCTGTCATGTTTATTTGTGTTCAGAAACATAAGTACAAGTGAATCTTTGGTAGAAGTCCATATTGCTCAAAGTGGAGTGAAATATTTCACAGGAAGGAAGGAATGCTGGAAGTCATCACCACAAATTTTAATGATATTTTTAACTAAATCATGAGGGACATGTTTCGGTCTTATAAAAGACCATCTTCAGCCTAATTGAAAGGTCTACAATACAAAAACAAATGATATTGAAATGAAAGGATTACCTATTTTATGCTAGACTTACTTGGAGTTGAAAAAATTATTTTATTAAATGCTACTATTCCTTGAACTGCCAATGCCCATAGTCGAGAGTTCCAAGGTTCCGAATAAACGGGTTCTCAATAAATGAAGGACCCCGTGCCCTGAGAGCATATACTATGTTTTATTAATGAACATTTCATATACCCAAAATGGTATATGAAGGGTATTGTCAAAAAGTTTATTATCTGACGACACCATAAACTAGCGGGTTTTTAAAAAAGGGGTTCCCCGTTCCCTTGTGAAGGCGTTATTTTAAGGCAAATATCAATAAAATTGATGGGGCAAGCAGCCAGTACGTGTTTTAAATCTAAACTAATTTGGTTAGAAAACACTGAAGATTATGTCAATTGAAGACATGGACAAGACGTTGACATAGAGTCAATGTCAATGACAAGGGATAAAACATGAAAATCTGACCATGAGCATAGGCATATAACAATATGTATTACAACTATTGGAGAATTTTGATTTAGGAGGAGGGATACATGTAGGAGAGAGTTGAGACCAAGGTAGTTGAACAATCAGTGATTAAAATTCAAAGCATTGAAAAATTTTATACAATCAAAATGTGTTTGCTCATTAAGAGACAAGACCGAATTATTATTCAAGGAAGAATTAATTTCGAAAATTTCCAGTAAATTCAGTAACCTACCTTTTGGACAGACATGTAGAATTTTGAGGTCCTGATTTGGATGAAAACTATGGTGTGAATTTAGGATGTGGTTTGCAAATGAACTTTTAGTATCATATTCATCAAATAAAGGGGGAGAATTCTTGGATTTTTCAATGATTTTAACATGTTCAGTGACTCTGGTTAAAATGTTTCTACCACTTTGTCCAACATATTGAGCATTGCAATTTGGATCAGAGCAAGAGATACAATATACTCCAGATTTTTCATTCAAAGGAACTTCATCTTTAGAATTAACAAAATTTTTTGAAATATTATCAACTGTGTAGAAAGAGATGTTAATATCCTCACTATATCGATGAAAAATGTTTTTGATATCATAGGAGACTTTGCCAAGGAAAGGAATAGATGAAAACCGTACTCGTGGATTTTGTATTGGTAATAAGCTTCTGTTGAAGGATTTATTTTGGTGTTTATTGAACATCTTATTAATAATATGGGGAGGGAAACCATTGTTGTGTCCAATCTGCTTTATAATATTCAGTTCCTTGTCAAAAGGGGCTCATAGGGATATTAAACAATCTATGGAATAGAGAATTGAAAGCTGCATATTTGTGTTGATTAGGATGGCAAGACATAAACGGAATTACAGAATCAGTGTGTGTGGGTTTCCGGTATATAGAAAAATCAAAAGTGTTATTGTTCATATTAATAAGTAGGTCCAAAAATGGGAGAGAGTTGTTAGCTGCAACTTCCATAGTAAAATTTATAGCTGGGTGCAATGAATTGAGAAAGTTCAAAAGTAGGTTGACTTCTTGTAATGTGCCATCAAATAAAACCAAACAATCATCAACATAGCGGTACCAGAAGCAGATTTTATGATGTAGAGTGAAATTAGTTAGCTGATTTTCCAAGTTGTGTAAAAATATTTCTGCCAGCAGTGGGGACAAATTGCTGCCCATTGCTAGAGCAGAAACCTGAGAGAAAAATTTATTATTGAACTGGAAAAAGTTTTGTTGTAGTACAGTATCCAGCAGAGAACAAATATTTAGGCAATGGAAAGTAGGTATTTTGGAATCAAACAATAACTGGCGTACTAAAAATATGCAATCTTCAGGGGGAACAGATGGAAAAAGGTTGACAACATCAAATGACAACAAAATTGCATTTGGAGGAATAATGAAATTTTTAATTTTATTAGTGAGATCAAAAGAATTCTTCAATGGTAGAGGATTTTCGAAATTGGTAAGATCTTTGATAAACCCATTCAACCAAGAAGCTAGTTTGGAAGTTGGAGAATTACAGTAGGATACCACAGGACGAATTGGTATTCCCTCTTTATGAATCTTAGGAAGACCATAAAGTAGAGGAGTAGCTGGATTCATTGGGGTCAATTTAGTTTTTGAAGAATTGTAGAAGGTAATGGTGTCAATACAAGTGTTGAACATGGTTTTCATATTGTTGAAGAATTTCATCGTAGGGTCTGACGTTAAGCTGATGAAACCATCTGTTTCTAGAAACTGAGTGACCTTGAGTAGGTAATCTGTTTTATTAAGAATGACAAGACAATTGCCTTTATCAGCCTTGGTAACTACAAGCAAATTTTCTTTAATTTTCTTTGAAATATTTTTGGAAATTTTTAAGTCTTGCATATCTAACACAGGGGGTAATTGGATATTGAAGTTGTTGTTCAAAGATCTGGCAATTTCACTCCTCAATAGGTCTTTGTTCTGAAGATTATTCTGTTCTATTACTTTCTCATACTCTACTGAGAGTAATTTATGTCGAAATATTATGAATAGTGATATCAGTGTGGGAAGGTTTATGGAAAATTGAAAAATCATGTTTATCGTTGATTTTACTTATTGTCAAATCTAAGAAATTGATTGAATTTTCAGTCTCTATTTCTATTGTGAATTTAATGTTTGGATGAATAGTATTTATACCGGGTGTCCCAGTTTACCTGTTCCAATGGATTATCTCAGCTATTTCGAAATATAAAAATTTGAAAATTTTATGATCCCCAATTCGTTCAAGGAACCTTTAATTGTGGAAAACAAAAATTGAAAGTCACTTCCGGTTTGAACGGAAGTGACTCTGACTTTCTTATTTCAAATAGCACCCTGTATATTTTTTGCAATTTTTGCTTTCTACTCAAAATTACCTTTCCAACGATGTATCACACTTTGTATTTTACATTTGATTTGATAGAGAAATTTCAAATTGAAAGAATTGCAGTAGGCTACGATATTTTGTGTAATCTCGATTTTGACTTCAATAATAATTAATAATACATGAACAATTTTGCATTCGAGATGATGAAGATGACGTAAAATTTCAAATTATTAGAATTGTAGTAGAACTGGAAGAATTAGTAATTCTTAAATGAAAACCTCAGTGTGCCATGAAAACATTTGAATACATTTGTTTGTAACTTTGACAGTTAATAATTCTCAATAGTTGTGTGCGTGTCAGAGATACTAACATTCAGTATGAATAACCGTGAAAATGATGATAACTTCACTAATCAAGAGAAATTGGATATGATACTGATTTATGGAAAATGCGATAATAATCGTCGGGCTGCCGTACGTGCATACAGAGAGAAATACCCTGATAGACGAATGCCAAGCGCTATATGTATTTCACACGCTTGGCTTTGAATTTGGCAACAAGTGGATCATTTTATAGAAAGCGTACTGTCTTTAAAAGAAAAAATGCTACGGACGAAGAGCATACCGTTGCAGTTTTAGGAAGAGTGGTTGTTGATCCCCATATCTCTATTAGAAACATAGAACAGGAGAGCGGTATTTCTCGTTCATCAATTCAGCGCATTCTCAAAATTGCCAAATTCAAACCATTTAAAATTCATCTGCATCAAGGATTACTACCTACAGATTACGAGAGGAGACTTGCGTTTCTTGCTTGGTTAGCTACGGCACGTGAAGATGGTATTATCAGCTCGATATTGTGATCAGATGAGAGTCGTTTCCATAATAATGCAACTGTAAATCGACATAATTGGCATTATTGGTCGCAAAATAATCCACGCTAAGACAAACTAATTTTCAAGTTATCTGAGGAGTCAATGTATGGTGCGGCATGATTGATGGATTCATTTTAGGACCAAAATTTTAAGATGGTACGTTAACTGGTCCAATGTACCTAGAATTCCTTCGGGATGAACTTCCTCATTTTCATGAAAATATTCCTTCACATATGCGTAGAAACATTCATTTTTAACAGGATGGTGCACCCCCCCACAATGCTATAGTGGTAAGGAATCATTTAAATGAAACATTTGGAGATAGATGGATCGGCACACACGGACCGATAAGATGGTCTGCAAGATCTCCAGATTCAACACCGCTGGATTTCTTCCTTTGGGGGTATTTGAAAGATCGTGTGTACCAGACTCATCCTATTGATTCAGAAGATCTAAAAAACAAAATAAGGAGTGAATGTAGAGCCCTTAATGCTGAGGTGTTGAGGAGTGTTACTTCGCGTGAACTACTCCACCGAGCTGAAAGATGTGTAGAAGCAGTTGGTCAACATTTCGAACATATGCTTTAGTTATTATATTCTTGAGCCCCCTTTCTTTGTAATTACACAAAATATCGTAGCCTACTGCAATTCTTTCAATTTGAAATTTCAATTGACGTTTTCTCCATCAAATCAAATGTAAAATACATAGTGTGATACATCGTTGGAAAGGTAATTTTAAGTAGAAAGCAAAAATTGCAAAAAATATACAGGGTGCTATTCGAAATAAAAAAGTCAGAGTCACTTCCGGTCAAACCGGAAGTGACTTTCAATTTTAATTTTTTTCAGTTGAAGGTTCCATGGACGAATTGGAGATCATGAAATTTTCAAATTTTTATCTTTTGAAATAGCTGAGATAATCCGTTGG